ATCCTTTCTTATGCCTGACCTTTCCCATTTTTGAGTCTTGAGGGGGAAAATCACCCTTATCCATCACTGAGCTTCTCTCTTATTTTAATTATTCACAACTGCTATGAGAGAAATTACAAGCTTTGCGCACTAGAAGCCCTTTCCATAATTAGATTGTCTATTGTTTAGCAGAGGATTGTAAAATATCTATGGAGGACAAAATGGTTCACTTGTCCAGTGCTGACAATCTAGACCTGGAACTGAGGAATTTACTATACACAGCTGTGAAAACACAGTATGGTGACCCATTATTTGTCGATGTTAGGACCAAACTGGGCCCTAGGCAGTATAACAACTCAGGGCCCACTGCTTCAACCCTAGATGTGGAAGGTTAAATTCTATGTAAACCTAATCAATAACATGTCATAAAATAACTATTGAATCAACTACAAGTAATTTCAAATGTAATTTTGAATATTTTTAAATCTTCAGCTTAAAAGTGACACTAAACTTAGGAGTTAAAGGGGTTCTAAACCCTCCAGTTTTGTTTTTTTTGCTTATATCTACTGCTAGCATGCAGTAGATATAGGCAAGAAGTGTAAAAAAAAACCGCTTAAAATCATTTTAAACTTACCTCGTTATTGCCGCTCGTTCCCGTGCCGAAAATCAGGAACTGCTCGTACGGCCGCAAAGGATCTTGGGGCGGGCGCATGCGCAGTTTCGATTCTCGGCCGGGAGACGAGCAGAGACGCAAGGTAAGTCTATGGACGCGTGCACCCGCCTGCAGACACTGCTGGATCGGAGAGACAGAGCAGTCAGCGCTGGATCGGAGTGACGTCACACCGCTGGAGGGACAGATGAAAACATGGGGAAAGAAGAGGAAGATCGGAAAAAGAGACATCATTTAAGGTAAGTGCTAACATTACATTGGGGGGAGGGAATTTTTTTTTTGCCTTTAATGTCACTTTAAATCCTAAAAATACATTCAAGTACCCAATTAACACAAATGTATCTTATTTGTGTATCACTCGGCTGTAGATCCTCAAATCATCTCTGAATTGGTGCTGACACTGTCCTTCCTTCTGGAGGGTGGCTAATTTTGTTCCCCATGGTCCTTGTCTGTATGTAAAGTATCCACCGCTCCAAGATCACTCCTGTGATGGAGTATAATCTCAATACAAATTAGTAAACTAAACGAGAGATTGCATTCCATCATGGGAGTGAGCATTTTAAAGAACTAGTGGCAGGAACATGAAAATATGGATGTGAAACTAGTGCTCCTCTAGTTGTATTGGGAATACAAAGTTTAAAGCTGCCCATACACTGTGTACATTTTGGCCAGTTCTTGAAGAACCAGCTGAAATTTGCTCAGTGGGTGGCTCTGTTGGCAGCTTTATGTGTGGCATCCTTCTATCAGAACATTTTCAGGAGAATAGTGATGGCAGTCAGTCGGTTGCCACCACTGTTCAGGTATTCTGACAGGGGATTTGTCCATTCATGCTGTTTAGTATGGACGGAGTATGTTATATTTTTTTTTGTTCTGCCCAAAGTATGAATGAAACTTTTTTTACAGTGTATGGTCAGCTTAAGTTGAATGGGTTTCTTCTAATATTATTGCAGGTGCCTGGATTTGACTTATCTAGCTAGAGGACAAAATATACTGTTCCTTCTGTATTTGGAATGAGTGCCATTTCATTCTAAAACCCTATCATCTACCAACATATACTCTATGCCTAACCTACTCAAATAAAAATTTTTGGAGGAAACATTTTTTTATGTGAAGAACTTATTGCATAAGGGTCTGTGTAAACGGGCTTGGACTTGTGTTGATGGACAAATGCAGCTTGCTTTTAGGTTAATTCCACTTAAATTTGAGATCAGTTTGAGATGCTTCTGAGATCATGCATAGTTCTTTTAGAGGTGCATTTGACCTGCAGGCAACCTCTTTCTAACTTGTATTTGACAGCCTTCTGACCTACTTTAGGCTGCTTCTGCATTTCCAGTGACTTTTATGGGGAGAGAAGCAGTTTTGCAGCAAGCAAAAGCCCATTAACACAGGCCTTTATACAGGTTGGCAGTCAGGAGACCATGATGACCATGAAGAGGTGGGCCCCAGGCTTTCTAACAAGAATGTAAGTGAGCTGGGTGGACTTCAAGCTTGTGATCTCTGGATTAATTATTCCCTCCATTCTGTTGGGTTATTATTAAGAACTTGCATACATTTTTGGAATGACTAATTTTTCAGTTAAGAGAGAAATCCTCCCAGCACAACATCACACAACCTGTGAGAGGGAAGACAAAGCACCGGGAGTCAGTCAGGTTCTATTGCACTGAGCACAGTATAGACTGATTCCTCATCAGTGCTGAGCTGCTCTATAATGGTCCAATCAGATGGGTTTTTTACAAGTCTGTATTGCTCAACTGCAGTGAAGTTTACATGTAACTTACAGAGGGCGGAGTCTGGCTGTATGTTTTCATAGAAGAGCATAAGTCTGGCTTATTGCAAATCCTTTGGCAGATAAAATAGTTTATATAAATGTATTTCTAGCATGTATTTTGCGGTTTTCTTGGAACTCAGCTTTAAAGATTCTCTATGTCATAATTTAGGGCATTAGGCATTGGTGCTTCATAGACCCTATCTGGATCCCCAAGTTTTTTTCTAATCATTGGTCTTGAATATTTTTTTCCCAGTACTGTAAAGTATTGGGAAAGTATTGTAAAAGTATTGTAACATTGTTGGAATCCCAACCAACAGGTTCCTAATCATTGAGATCATCATCACAGATTGCCTTGCCCAGACCTCCTGAGGCCCCTACTCATGCTCTATGTTACTACTTAAATTTTAATATCCGGGTCTTCTGTTTGCAGAAAAAATTGCCTTTACAATGCCTATAGGCTTGTTAAAGCTGAACTCCAGGCAAACAGCTAAACACACAAGTGGAATACATATATGGGACATGTTTACCTACCACATGATTTGTATATATTTTTATCCAGTCCTGAAATGTACTAAGCTCTGCCACATAGCACAGCTCTATCTGGCAGGGCATGATACCTGATATTTCTCTGCTGCAGTTAGGTAACACTTACACATCTTATCCATTCCCCAGTCTATGACTGGACAGTGAAAGAAGAAGCAGCTGGTGACCCCATCCTACTATCACTCTGCTCTCTCCTCCTATAAGCATGTTTTTTTGCTAGCACCTGAGCACTGCATCACAACTGATTGGTTCCTAGTTTCTCCCTCTGTCATTCTGAGTTCTGCTGTACATGAGATTGCCAGAGGCTGGTGCCAAGTCGAGTTCAGGTACTCACACTGATTACAAAAAAAAAAAAAAATGATCATGTATTAATACAGACTTGCATTCATTTGTATTTTTTATGGCTGCCTGGAGCGTAGGCTTCAGATATTGGGGCACTGGATTGCTCTTCACTGGAATGGGTTACATGTATTACCCAGAAACGAAATTTAAATATGATGTGCTGTATTTGCATAATGTAACTGTGTACCTGCACTTCCAGAATATTACATTTTATTACTGCAGCATACCAGTTTTCATGCTGCCATGAGGGAAGAAATAGGGTAATGTTTGCTTTTAAACCTGCATTTGTAGTTAATATGTAAGAAACACAGAAAATCTGTAACATACTCATTTCTGACAGCGATCATTGTAATGATTCAGTTTTTTGGAATGTTCAACGTATAATAGTCTAACAATGCGTCTTTGAAACTTGCAGTTTCTTGGCAGTTTTTCAAGTTCACCTGTAGATGTATCCAGCCCTCTCCTGCAATCCTCAATAATGAAAGGGTATCTAAGCCCAAAAGTAAAAACATAATATATTGCAGTTTACCAATCCTTAGATGTGGTGGCTGGATTTGTTTTCTTTTTTCCTTTACAATCACCTGGTGATCCAGCCAGTAGCCCACTTCCTGTCTAAGTGTGGCTCCACTCTGTGGAAGAGCAATGGAGCCACCCTTGGGCAGCAGCATTGTCACCCTGTGGGGAGGGTAGTGCTGGATGCTATAGCAGATGTAGATGGACATGACTAACAAATTAAATCCAAACTGCAGCTGACACTGTTTAAGCTGTTTCATCAACAAGATTTTATTTCCTTTTGGGATAAAAGTTTTACATAAATGAGTAAAAGCTGACCATTGTAATCACCCCATCAGTGTTAAATGGTTTACCTCAACCTTCTATCTGCCACTTTTGCTGGACAGTTTGGTCTGTTAAAGGAAGTTGAAAAATGACAGACTTGCTGGCCGAATATCCAGGTGAAAATAAAGGAAAAAAGCCTAAAAAAAGAACTGATGCAGCCACCACGTCTAAGGATTGGTAGGCTGCAATGTGTTATATTTTTGTGTTTGCGTTTAGATACATTTCTAAAGACAAAGACAAATATTCCACATGATACAGTATACATATATGCTTTTAGTTAGTTTCAGTGTTTTCATTCTTCCTCCATGGGAGTAGGTAGGCAACTTCATTTTAAGACTGTAATAATGAACCTCACTGATCAAGGTGTTATCTCTCACACACAAATAAACCACTCTAGAGATTTTAGCTGGCCATACATGGATCAGCTTTTGTCCATCGCCTGCCAAGTCGGCTTAAATTTCAATCCAAGGGGGGCCTTGCCTGCACCACCTTGCTTGACAAAAGTTGGCTGAAAATCAACCTTTGTTGACCCGGGTAGAAAATTGTTGGCTGAACAGTGACCACAGCCAATTAGCTGTTCAATTGTACAGGCTGCAGAGCTGAAAGAGAAAAATCTTGCAGTGTATGGCCAGCTTTAGAATGCCCCATGCAAGGATGGAATTAAACAGGAAGATAATGATAGTGTAAGTGTCAGTACAGATTTTGAGGGTAAAAAACATGCATTCTCTTTAAATAATCTTCCTTCCTATATGTGAACAAGGTCATATATCTTTCCTAGTTTGTGTCTGTTGTAAAAAATTAAGGCATACATTAAGTTCCACTTTAAAAATAAAAATCTAATTTTTGTATGTTCTCTTACAGTGTGTACTGGGACAGTGAATGGCCTCAGTGTTACGGGTGAGGCTGAATACCAACATCTGACCTTGAATAACATGTACAACAACTGTCACATCGTGATGGGTAACCTGGAGATTGTGCTCGTTGAGAACAATAAAGATCTGTCATTCTTACAGGTGAGATTCAAAGACGAAATACAAACACTGTCCAATTTGTGATTTAATACAAACACTGTCCAATTTGTGATTTAAAGTGGAACTCCATCCATGACGTTTTATAGGGTTTTCATTTGAATATAGAACATTTAGCATCTCTCTTAGTCTATTTCCCTGTAGGAGAGGTTGTTTCCTGAAAACAGGAAGTGAAAGGAAATGTCCCCAAAGTGAGGGGAAATCCCATCTTCGAATGTTATCACTAGAAAAGGCGTTCCCACAGAGATCCCCTCTTTTTCTGTTTTATGACAATTGTAACATTTTAGATATCCCTGTACTTTCTGTGGTGCTGACCATGGTCACAAGGAAAGCAAGCAAGAGTTAATTTCTCAGAAAATTATATAGACAGCAATAAAATCCTGACAGAGTTTCTTATGTTCCACACACTTTAAAAAAATGTGTTGGCTGGCATTTCACTTTAAGTGGTCTCCATATGGTCAGGCATCCGCAATAGAAAGTCACCTGCATCAATATGCTATATTGCAGTATATATGCAATTTAAAGGAGAACTATGGGGTTAGGGCTTTCCCGATAGTTCTCCTTAGGGTAACGGGAGGACACAAACTAGCGTCCTCCCGTCACCCTAATCTGACACTCAGCGCCGGGCAACATATTTTGAATGCTTGCTCGGCTTGAGAACTGACAGTGCTGCGCTAGGGGGAGACTGAGGAGCCACTCATCTAGTGCAGTGGAAGGCACGCAGCGAACCACTGAACAAAAGTGGGTCGCGACCCACCAGTTGAGAACCATGGCTATAGTCTAAGCTAGATATCACTCTAATTGTGAGATTACATACAATATACATGCAAATTTTTGTATAGTATGTAAAGATGGACTTTTAAGGTACCCAAGCACAATATTCCATGTTATATCAAAATACAACATTTATTCGCAGAACTTTAAAAACTTCATATAAAACATTTACTTATACACTTGATAAATTATTTTTCTTATATTTTTGCTAGCCTCAACCAGTGATTATCCCCAGTCTATCACCCTTCCACTATTATTCTCTTAGTCTTATACTTCTCAAGGGATCTGGATTATCTCTTTACCATTATCAATAAAGTCCAAATAGGCGACCAGTGGAGATGTCACTCTGTAACCATTTCACGGATGTATGTTCCACTTCATCAGGAATTGGATGATGCTAATTGAAGCCATGTAAGTTTCAAACTAGGTTTGCGGCTGCTAAAATACCGTGGGCGAGCGTAGGAATACAATCAGATGGGCCCCAGGCTGATAGACCCGCCGCAACATATTAGTTGTTATGTACCGTGTTAATCAATCGCCACAACATATTAGTTGTATGTACCGGGTAATCAATCGCCACAAAATATAAGTGGTATGTACTGGGTTAATCAATCGCCACAAAATATTAGTTGTTATGTACCTGGTTTGAAAACTTTATGACTACAATTAGCCTCCCCACATTCCTGATGAAGCAGAACATACATCTGTGAAACGTGTTGAAGTGTGATATCTCCACTGGTCACCTATGTGGACTGTATTAATAATAGTTAAATAGATAATCCGGATCCCCTGAGAAGTATAAGAGTAAGAGAATAATAGCAGATAGATGGGGATGATCATTGGCTGAGGCTAGTAGAAATATAAGAAAAATAATTTATCATGTGTATAAGGGATTGTTTTAAATTAGGGCTGGTAATGATTAAAATTTTCGTGTTCGATTAATCGAATTTTTAAAAAATAAAATTAATTTCGATTAATTATAACGCACATACAGATCCAACTACATTGGCCTATACACATACAGCACAGCAATGAAGTAATAAAATGAACTAGTATCACACTAATCCAGCACGTTATTAATCCCACGTGCCCCATTTTAAATTAAGTTTTTTTAAGTTCTGTAAATACATTTTGTACTTTGATGTAACATGGGATGTTGTGTTTGGGTACCTCACAAGTCTGTCTTTGATCTGATGGTATGTGGTATCCTAGAAGCCAGCCGATTTAATTGTGATAGTAAATGATTACTATTGAGCAGTGTAAAATACTGTAGAAGGCTTAACTACTATTTCATTCTCATCTTCTGCACTGGTTTGGTCTGCATAAGAAGCAGATGTTATTATTGGATGATGTAAGGACTGCACATCAAGCTTTTTAAAATTGTTATACATGAGACATTTTTGCAGCTTGATATATGACTTTAAAAAAACAACCTCCAGGTCTGAGCTCCTGGATCTGATCCTTTTAGCCATACACTTGTACAGCAAAATCTATAGAAAAAGTATTACAGCATGTGACTACCTGTCAATGGTCCTCTTCCCTCCTTTATTAAACCAGGCAAGCTTTCTTTTTATCATGAAATCAGTATCAGAACTTTCCATCCTGGTAGTCACTGTTTTTATGCAGTCTGTACTGAATGATGAGCATCATGCATGCTAAAAAAAACCATTGTGATATTCTCCCACAATGTAGATTTCTGTTGTTTCATGTGTGAATAAATGGTTTAAAATGTTAGTGAGTTCAGTGAGTTAGCACCTCTGTCAGAGGAATGTCACTCCAGCCAGTCCTGTTTAACCAGCCTTCATACTGGAATATTGCACAACTTGTTTCTCCTCCCTACAGCTTAGTACAGGTAATGTACTGCTACAGCCAGTGGGAGAGGCTTCCTGTCACTCCAGGTGACTATGGACAGCCATACCCCGCACTACAGCAGTGTATTCTTGGCGTGTAACAACGCCACATTCATCATCACTTATTGGTTGGATTTAATTTGCACAGTGTATTTGCATTAATATCTTTTGTGGAATATTTATATTAGAGATAAGAGCTTAACTGGGATATATGCCAGGGCTGAAAAACATAAAGCAGTGCTTTTCGGAGCCAGCATCTCACCAGTACTTAGTTTTGGCGCAGGGAGTAGGTGGGTTCGGTAAGAAGTTAAAGCTAAATGTTAAGGACTGCCTAAAGGTAGGGTTAGGGGTCCAGGCATTTTTGGATTCACTTACGTTCACTACTTTAGCACAGAAAACCCAGTGTCAAGGACTACCTACTGCTGGGTTGTTGTCACTGAAAAGCAACATATTGGAATCAAAGACAACTGTTGATGAAGTTCAATCTTACAAAAGGCACCATGCATACTGGGAAACCTTATGGGCCGATTTATCAATCTAATGCCCAGCCATACACTAGGCGAATTAGGATTAGGCCGTTCCAATGGCAATCCTGGCACTAGATGGAGCCGAGGAATTCCTATGCTCCTCGACTCCATCTAGTGGCAGGATTGCTGTGTAAAGCTGGGCAGAGATAAATAAATAGACCCCCTAGTGCAGGGGTAGCTTAACTTGGGCCCCCCAGCTGTTGTGAAGCTACAAATCCCAACATGCCTTCTTTCTATTAATGCACACCATCGTCTTTTGGATTTTGTCATCCACACTTGTTATTACAGGATGATGAATAAATAATGAAATTACATGCGTCCTGCTTAGGACATTACTGCAATAAAATTTGCATGAAGATGCTAATGCACGTTTCACCGGTTTCTTTATAGTCTATACGTGAAGTGTCGGGGTATGTTTTGATCGCTTTGAACATTTTTACATATCTGCCGCTAGACAACCTCCGTGTGATTCGAGGACAAAGTCTGTATGAGGACAAATATTCTCTTTATATGACCCTTAATAACCAGGTTAATGGCACACGGGGCCTTCAGATGCTTGGCTTCCATCAGCTTACAGGTGAGCGAAATTGATCATAGTAATAATCCCTCAACTATGGATTTTTTAAGGTGCATTTGTCTATATGGGAGTAGATTGGTGATTTATATGTAAATAATACAGTTCATGTGATGTAACAGTTCACAATCGTAGGTTTTTGGTATTGCTTTATTATATTATATTGTGCTTTTTATTATATTATATTGTGTTTTTAATTATATTATATTGTGCTTTTTATTATATTACATTGTGCTTTTTATTATATTATATTGTGCTTTCTAAAGTACAATATGATCAATAAAATTATATTCAGTCACTGCTTAGTACTGCTTAGTTACAGTGCAGCCAGGGCCATCCCTTTAAAGAGGCAGTCTGAGGCTGTTGCCTCAGGAAATATCTCTTTGGGTCACGTGGGGGGGCCAGAGAGATCAAGGTTGCTAAGAGTTGGGCAGGGAGATGTGAGGGCGCTGCGTCTCCCGCCCAGCTCTTAGCAACCTGGTATACTCTTGCCAGCATCCCGCCGAGCTTCCGGCAACCAGTGACATTACAGGGTGTCCGAAGCTGCCAAAAGCTGGGCGGGGAGCTGCAGAGCCCTCTGCGCTAGCAGCAATATCACACCCCCCCCCAAAAAAAAGGCTGCGGCTGTTTTGACGTCAAAACATTTTCAGAGTCAGGAAGGATTAGAACCATGTCATATTCCCCTCAATTACTGACCTAATGATAATAGTTTCACTATGCAGGAAGTGATTGAAAATCTTAACACAGATTGAATAAACAATTTAGTAGAGTTTGGAAGCCTAGAACCCATGTCAGCTTTTTTTTCTGTTTGTGTCTATGCTTGAGATCACCCTCATGTCCTATCTGGTCAAACCATTGGTAAAGTAGGACTGTGGCTTCCCATTAACAAAAAACATGTGTTGCAGCACTTAGTTATGAATACATCTGCACTCACAGTTTTCTCTTAGTCCCGTGCAAAGTCTCACAAATACCTGGTGATCCTGCCGGTGAAAACCACCTAATGTAGTTTCCTGTGCTGGTGTGGCAACAATGTTGCGCTGCTCCTGAATGCAGAGCAGAGTTGCCACCCTCATGTAAGCTGTGCCTGATTGCACTACAGCGGGATGAAAAATGTTGCATTGGGGCATGGTTATCAGCATTGTCACTGCTGATTCACATGACCGTATGTTGTCAATCAGCACCAGGCCACACCTAGTCCTACACTACTTTCAGAATAGACAGCACTGCCTCTGTTGTTGAAACACTACCACTGTGATCTGCAGCGTCTGGGAAGGGGGGCATGTGAGACACAAATGAAGGAAAATTTGGCTTAGTCAGGAAGGGTAAAGGAAGTTTTTTTTATTTTTTTACTTCATGAGAATTGTGCATCACATAGTAACTGGATTTGGTATTTATTTAGACTGTCATACATGAGCCTTTGTTGTACTCTAAAAAATAACGAAGGGTAATACTTCGATTAAGAAAGAGTGGCGAGGGGTCAACTCTTTATTACTGTGACCCCGTTAGGGAGATTCACTCTTTCTAAAGGTGCCCATACACTGCACGATTATCATACGATAATCGTATGCGATCGGTTTTTCGTACGATAATCGAGCAATGTGAACAGAGACGTGTGACCGTTTCTACTGTACGGTCGCACGTCTTCCGTCGAACGAGCATGTTCGAAAACCAGCCGGGAATCGTACGATTCTCGGCTGGTTAGAACGGTGCTCGGAAGACAAATGCCGAACGGGCCGGTGTGCGCACGCGCACAATGCCCGTTCAGCATTGCGGTCATCGGAAGCCCGCCCCTCAGGGGGGCGTGCTTGCGATGATCGAGAGTGCGATCTGCTTGTCCAAGATAGGCAGATCGTACGTTTTTTTAATCCCTGTACAACCATCGCAAGACTAAAGTCTTGCGGTGGTTGTAGAGTGTATGGCCACCTTAACTGTCCTGATCACCAATGTTACCAGCAATGCAAGTGAGGGTAAATCCAAAAGTTTGAGTCACCACCAGAACAGGACATCTTGCAATGGGTACACTTGTTTTCGTGACAAATGTCTAAGAGGAGATTTATCTCACATTGAAAAGATACCCTCCAACTTCCTGTTGAATCCACAGGACAGGAAGTGAAGTCTATACTAGTTTGGTCTGGACTTACACTTAACCTTTTCAATGTTAGATAGTTGCATTCATTTGTTGCTCGATCTGCCCATTGGAACTAGTTTGTTTTAAAGGAGCTAAGTTAACCACTAGGACAGTCAGGTTCATTGAGGTGACAAGCTGAGAAGCCTAATGAGTTCAAAGTCCTACAATAACCTCAGTTCGTGGGAGTCACATTCTCCAGCTGCTCTTAATTGTGACTGACCAGCACACAGTGACCTCAGTACTCCCTCATAGCAGCAATCCTAAGATGTTTATGCAGGAACACCCTGATGGACTTTGGCCAGTGTTTTGGCCTTTATTGCTTTACTACTAGTGGCTATATGCCAATACTATTGTGTTTTCTACATTACCAGACAAACAGATAAAATATGAACCTGGGTCTATCTGGATAGGTGCACTGGTTTTACAGGTTTTAGAGTTTAGCAAACACAACACAATCACAAAAGAACGTACACTTTCCCATATGAACAGGAATTATTCATATGTCAAAACTACTCTGTAAAAGATCATGTGCACCCGCTGTAGAGCAACGTGACTTATAGCTAGGTTACAGGGGAGGCAGCCATGTTGAGCAATGAAAGTATGGCAGAACACCTGATTATTTCTCAGCACCCAAAGCCACTGCAGCTCTCTTGTCCAACTTTAATGGGGATTTTGTTGAGTGCACACATGCTAGCTGAATAGCAGACCACAGAACTCCATGCAATATACAGGTGAAACTCGAATAATTAGAATATCGTGCAAAGTTCATTTATTTCACTAATGCAACTTAAAAGGTGAAACTAATATATGAGATAGACTCATTACATGAAAAGCAAGATAATTCAAGCCGTGATTTGTCATAATTGTGATGATTATGGCTTACAGCTCATGAAAACCCCAAGAACCCCAAATCCACAACCTCAAAAAAGTAGAATATTACATGCAATCAATAAAACAAGGATTGTACATAGAACAATATCGGACCTCTGAAAAGTACAAGCATGCATATGTACTCAGTACTTGGTTTGGGCCCCTTTTGCAGCACTTACTGCAATTACTTTTGCACGATATTCTAATTATTTAAGTTTCACCTGTATATATATACTGTGGTCAGTACCAGTGTCTCAGGATCCCAAGTTCTTTTCTGAAAGAGCATATGCTATAAGAAGATCTATATTTTCTATCTTCAGCAAAGTGAACCCAATCCAGTTACTGAAAAAATAGTCACAATGATATTAGTGTCACTGTACTGTACAGTAAACAAAGTGGCAGTTATATTAATGAGACACTAAGAGATCTATTTACAGTATAAATGGTTCACAGAACCATTTGTCCCACAAAACTCTGTGAACGTTCATTCTGTGCAAATGATCTACTAGCCAGGCCATAAGAGTTGCTCGCCACCAGTTGCCCCACCTAACCGTTACCCTGCCCTGACCTTAACTCCGCCCCTAAACACACCCTCTTAAATAATCTTATGATAATTCTTATCTTATCATAGTTGCCGCTTGTAAACGGCAGATTAGGGATTCCTGCTGCAGGAAAACGCAAGTTCCTGACGCAGGAATCCCTAATCACACCTGAAATATACTGTAGGTGTGAATGGGGCCTAATATATAAATACACTAAAACACAATAATACACTTCTCAAAGTTACAAGCACAAATATAATAATAAAATTCCCCCTGCACACAAAATAATATATTACACTCCCCCTTATCAACCCCCCACACACATAAAATATTACACTCCCCCCTTATTAACCCCCCACAACTCTAGCCGGCTCGCTGGCCGAAGTTGGCCCGCAGACCGGTACTTGGAGACCCAAATTTCCACTCGCCCTCACTTTATTTTTACTCGCCAAATGCGAGTGGAAATTTTGAGCCCTGTTCTTAAAGGAGAACTATGAGGTGAGTGCTTTTCACTCACCTCATAGTTCTAGCCGACCTGTGACAATGAGACTGTCACAGGTCGGCTCAGTAGATCCGGAGGTGAGCGAACACATACCGGGTTCGCTCGCCTCTCTATCCTGTCACGGCTCTCTGCCGTGACAGGGGGAGGGGCTGGATTTCCCTCTCCCCGCTCCGATCTGCCAGCGCTGACTGGCAGAACGGACGGGGGAGGGGGCGGGTACAGCTGGCTCTGCCTCTAGATAGGCAGAGCCAGCTGTCACTCACGCAGCTGGGCGGATCCCGTCAGCTAAGTCGTGATCCGCTCCGGCTGCGGCGTCTCAGTATACCGTGAGCTGTAGCTCGCGCTATACTGAGCCTATGGTGACGGGAGGACGCTAGTTTGTGTCCTCCCGTTACCCTAAGGAGAACTATGGGGAAAAACACTGACCCCATAGTTCTCCTTTAATATATTTTTATTTACGAGTAGAAATTGCATAGTATTTATTTCCTATGCTCCTCAGTGCCATCTATTGGCCATACTGAGGAATTTTTCTAATATAACATTCAACTTGTAAAGAAAAACAACCTTTGGGTTTGCCTCCATTTGCACAGAACAAGCATTCACAGATTTTCGCAGTACGGATGGCTCTGCGAATTGTTTACAAATACATGCCTATTTATTATCATCTATTTTAGGCTAATGAGGGTGAACAAAAGGTTGTATACATATCTTGCTATAAAAACATGCCAAAAGGAACCAGTTTGCAAAAAAACAAACAAACATCTTTTTAGACGTTGTCAGCTAATTTGCTTTTATCTTTTGATATTTTTGACAGAAATTCTGGCTGGAGGCATCCATATAACCAATAATGAACAGCTGTGCTACACTAATACCATTGACTGGAAAGATATCATTCGGGATCCAAAAGCTCAGGTTGAAATTGAAGATAATGCTGTGATCTGTAAGTCCTGGCAGGGGCAAGCAAAAATGTATTGATGTTTATCCTGTTGATATCATTTCCAAACCATGCATGCATATAATGATGTAAAATGTGGTACAAACAAATCCATGAATATAAGAATCCATACACTGTCTGGAAGTCTGAAAACATCTACTTTAAAGTAAACCTGTGTTCACCATGAAGCTATTTTATTCTGGTGCTACAGACGATGGACAGATGGTCTCTCTAACACTCATTCTCAGAGAGACATCTGCTTGTCTATACCTAATCCTACTCCAAGTAGGCTTTGATTACTCACATATAGCTTAGTGCCATGAGTCATGTCTTGGCATTTCATACATGTTTTATTAAAGATAACCTGTTTAGCATGCATTACAAAGCAGAACATCTTGAGGTGAAGCAAAGACATTAAATCCTTAATGAACTCTTAGTTTCAATCTGCTAAATACATTCCATGTGCACCAAAACAAAATGTTTGTCAAATCTTAGAGTTTGACTTCTGTAGAAAGCAGCCACTGCCCAATTAAAAAAGCCCGTCCCCTGCCAGCATGCTGCAGAAAATGATCCTTTCTCACTGTGTGGAAGCAGTGGTCTCCCTGCATAGTTCTGATGAACCCAGTGCTGAATTTGATCTTTAGCTCTGCAGTTAGCAATGCCCATGCACTATGGAGAGCTTTAGCTCTGACCCAGCAGGGGATGTGTTGGAACACTGCAGGGAGACCACTGTTTTCACAAAAAGAGCGAGTGTCCTTCTCTGCGGCAGGGGACCAGGCTTTTCTACCCAATTTGTGACTTTTTTCTAAAGAAAAAAGACCTGTTATGCATTTTGTTTTGATGCCTTTGGAATGTATTTAGTTGATTTAAACTGAAACTTCAGTTGGAACATAGTTACATAGTTACATAGTATTTGAGGTTGAATAAAGACATTAGTCCATCAAGTCCAACCTATTAGGATCTCATTCTAGGAGTACCTGTACCCCTGTATATTACGGTCCCTTAAGAAATCGTCCAAAAGTTTCTTGAACAATTCCACATTCTTTGCTGAAATCACTGTCTGTGGCAGTGAGTTCCAGACCCTAACTGATCTTACTGTGAAGAACCCCCTTCGCCCCTTGTGCTGGAATTTTTTTTCCACCAATTTTAGGTGGTGGCCTCTAGTTTTTGTAATGGAGTTAATTTTAAACAGTTTATCGCTAATGTTGCTGCCACCATTGAACATTTTGTACATGGAGATCATATCCCCCCTTAATCTCCTCACCTCCAATGTGAACATGTTTAAATTTAGTAGCCTTGTCTCGTAGCTCTGGTCCTCCATACCCCTAATTAGTTTGGTTGCCCTCCGCTGGACTTTTTCCAACTCAAGGACATCTTTTCTTAGTACTGGTGACCAGAACTGGACCGCGTACTCCAGATGAGGTCGAACCAATGATCTATAAAGTGGCAAAATTATAGACTTGTCCCTGCAATACATCCCCTTTTTAATACAGGACAAGACCCTGCTAGCTTTGTTTACAGCAGCCTGGCACTGCAAACTACCTTTCAGTTTGTGGTCTACAATGACCCCCAAATCCTTCTCCATTTCTGACTTCCCTAGCGGCATACCCATAATTGTATAACCCATTTGTTTATTTTTAATTCCAAAGTGCATTACTTTGCATTTATCGACATTAAACCTCATCTGCCACATTAATGCCCACTCCCCTATTTTACATAAAAGAATCATGTAATTGTAAAGGTGTTTGTTACTGACCGCAGTTTCACTGGTTTAAATATAAATAGCAACCAGAGCAGACCAGGAGGTTAGTTACAACACAACACCAGGTCTGTTACTATGTCTCCCTGGAGTGTCTGCATCCACCACACTAAATAACTTGGCAGCCGCACTTGAGACTTGGCCAAATGTCTTATCAATAAGATAAAAACTGGATGGTAAAGTTCTCTACAGTGAGACGTGTGAACCCTCATGCAGTGGGTTAGGTGTCAAGAGAAACAACCTCCACCCCTTGTATGATTGATACCTAAACGTATTTGATTTTTCGTGTCAGGGAAATTGTTTATAGGAATCTGTGTAAGGCTATGTGCTTGCCATATTTACCCGCCTGTGTTTAATCATAGTGGCAGTCCAAGACTGCAGAGGGCCCCACTGCAGAGGCTACAATTATTTATTGGCCACATGGTCCATTTTAACCCCAGGTCCAATGTGATTTATCCTAAAGGCAATTGTAGAGCAGGGCATGATCTACAGTATATATCTGTTCCAGGTCTGTGTCTCAGAAATGCCCAGCGCATGTAATGGTATGTGATATTATTACATGCGGTTAGAAAACACTCTCCCTGGATGCACAATCGATGCATCCAGAGAGAGTGATTGATTCCTAACCGAATGTAAACATAACACATATCATTACATGCGGTGTGCAGGCGTTTACATGGAGCTGCTGTCACCTGATCATTAAGTTGAATAGGTGACACCTGCCACTTTTAAATGCCAGATTAGGAATTTCTGCTGCAGGAAAACGCAAGTTTCTGACGCAGGAATCCCTCATTGCACCTAAAGATAGAGGTGTTAATGGAGCCTAATACACTTCTACTACTCCACCCCATACACGTAAAAAAAATACTTCCACCAAATAAAATAATACACCCCTCCACCCCACATACACTACTGTATATATATATACAGTATATAGAAATTTGTGCAGGGAGGAGGGGCTGTGAGGAGGAACATCGATCCTGGTGATCCAGTGATTGATTGGTAAGGTCAGCTGCAGACCTTACCAATCAATCCTTTTGGCCAGCTTTTACTGAAAGAGCGCTGTTCGAAAGGATCCAAGTGCTGGCGCAGAATCAGCCACACGGTCTGCATCCGACAGAGATGCAAACCATGTAGCTGCTCCCGCAAGTCAGGTACGCTGTCCGTGACCGGGTACCTGACTTCTGATCTGGCTGCGGCCCACATAGTAGCGGCTCGCTGGCCTGCAGTTGACCCGCGGGCCAGTACTTTGAGACCACTGCTTTCGTGAATAACCCTAATAATGTCCGCTACAAGCTACAGCTATTGAAGTATTGGTTTAGGTTTCCCACAGCTTCACTTTAAGGAAACAAAAAACAGTAATTACAGAGTACAAGAGGAAGTTATCCTAAAGTGACAATGAAGGTTCAGGTACAATGAATTATCATTATTGTTACAAGGTCATTTTCTAGTTCCTAAAGATCTCTTTTTGTGTCAGTCAGAACAAAGATTGTTTCTTTCTCTAGGTACTAGTGATTAGCCTTTCTTTTCTGCCATCCTAAGTGTCAGTATGTTATAATTATGCCTTCATTCGGCATCAAAGTACTATTGTACTTTAACTACCAAATGGTGACCCAGCCATTCCTATCTCTAGTAGGGTTCTAGTGCACACATTTCCAACCTTTGCTCTGGTCTACACAGTAAACATAAAATATTCATCTACCCTTTGCTCCGTCTGTCTATGTAACTGTTCATACTGTGCATATGACTGTTTAGCACCGCTTCTCATAGTTGTCCACCGTGTTGCAAAGAAGGGGAATTACATTATTATACAATTATCGTTCGAAAAACGAATGCGATTGGTTTTCGTACGATAATTGGCCAGTTGATAGGAAGTGCACGATCGCAATTACTGTACAACTGCCCGAATTTGGTTGAACGGGCAGACTAGGAAACTTTTGTGGAAACTGACGATAATCGATTGATTAGTAGCGATTTCATACAACAAAAGTCGCAACATGAAAGCTGCACATGCACAAACGAAAATTTGTTCTGTCGATTGACGAAATTCGGCCAGTTAGTATTGCTAACGAACGATAATCGAAAACCACATTGGTCTTTGCATGATGCGGTATTCGTGCGGAAAGTGAATAGTGGTTCAATGACGGGACAAACAAAATTGAACGATGGTTGTAAGGTATATGACCAGCTTTAGACGGTGTGTGCGGCAGCACAATATAAAGGCATATTTCAGGTAAAAAGACAAGCTGAACTAAAAAAATAATGTCATTCCTATTTGTCAGGTTTGAGCTTCCAGCACTTTAATGTACTCAGACCATTAAACACTAAATCTGGGTTAGATTCCCTGGAATGTACATTTCACTTTGGCCTTTGGCTTATTAAATAGTGAGTATACTATACTCATATATGGCTTTATTTAGGTTTGAATTTAAATACATTCCAATGTGATTGGTTGTTATAGTTTTGTGTACTTTTCATGTTACAGGGTAATGCACACAGGCATGTGTACAGCGTATAGCTCAAATTCACCCTATTGGTTGCTAGGATACTAGGTAGCTCCTACCAGCTAGCATCCTTCACTGCTGGAATGCAGATTACTTTTGTCGCCTAGCACCCCTGGTTGCTAGATTGCAGTCAGCTCTTGATGCTTAGTGTCCTTTGTTGCTAGGATGCAGTCAGCTCTTAATGCCTAATGTTTTTTGTTGCTGTGATGCAGTAAGCTCCTGATGCTTAGCGTCCTTTGTTGCTAGGATGCAGTCAGCTCTTGATGCTTAGGGGGTGATTTACTAACCTAAACACACGCACGCACCAGGTGCGTGTGATTTTCACACAGCAAAACGTATTTATCAACCAAAAAGTCTCTAAAAGCATATTTCCACTAATGCCATATATGGAAAAATCATGCACATGATGCATATATAATGCTGCTTCACAGTTTAGACAAAAATGGTTAGCTCATGCATTTACATTCCTGCATTCATCAAAGCAAGCAACACAACATAGAGCTAATTTACACAACATCACCTTGCAATTCATGCTTGGCTTTGCACAACACACCTGCTGGGTGTGTACACACTACAAAGGTGTTTAGATTCCACCCATAGATCATGCTGGGAGGGAACACACTACAGAGGTGTATACATGTTCATGGTGTGTTTATAAGGTTAGTAAATCAACCCCTTAGTGTCCTTTGTTGCAAGGATGCAGACACCTCTTGATGCCTAGTGTCCTTTGTTGCTAGGATGCAGTCAGCTCCAGATGCTTGGCATCCTTTGTTGCTAGGATGCAGTCAGCTCTTGTTGCCTTGTGTCGTTTGTTTCTTGAATGCAGTCAGCTCATGATGCCTAGCGCCTTGTGTTGCTAGAATGCAGTCAACTCTTGATGCATAGCATCCTTTACTGCTAGGGTACAGTCAGCTCTTGACGCCTAGTATCCTTTGTTGCTAGGATTCAGTCAACTCTTGTTGCGTTTTGTCCTTTGTTGCTAGGGTGCAGGCAGCCATTCAAGGCAGACATGTCATCTCAATAGTGTGTAATCACACTGATTATACATTGTTGATATTTACATGTACGCTATGAGCAAGCCAATAGAGTACATTTGGACTGTATGCAACATTAGCACAAACCTTTAGATGCATACAGCATAAAATATGGTCCATACGCAGGACCTTAGATGCAGATTTTTCTTTTTTGATTTCACGGATGGGAATGCAGTGCAAATGTACTGATCTTTAAGCAGCTATGTACATGGGACCATAGAAAACAATACACGTCTGTTTTGAAATCTGTAAAGAAAAAAAAGAAAAAAAACACAGTGTTTTTTTTATGGTCGTGTGCACGAACCCTACATGTGCCCTCCTAACTTAGGGCTCATTCACAACAGCAGGTGTATTTTAGGTTGCTCATAATCCACGTTCGCTGGTGTGCCATGTCCACATGCACTGTAATGCATTGTTACAATGCATTGCAGTGCTTGCTTGTTACATTTTTTTCAACTTTTCTTTAACTTTACACTCTGTTAACGCTATGCATGGCAGCGCATTGTGATGTGTTACAGTGTGTCGGAATGTGTTTTCCTTAAAAATACAACATGCCCTACTTTTTTTTCCTTGCACACCAACGTAGGTGCATTGGCGTTAACTGAAGCAATAGAATAGAAGGCAAATTGCATTTTCTATGTATTGCGACTGTGTTTGGCAATGCAGCCCAATGTAGCCCAACAGATCTGGTGTGAACAAGCCCTTACTAAATACACCTGCTAGTCTCTGCAGTATTCTTTATGCAGACAACAGTTATTGGTGGTTCCGACAAGGTGTCACTGTGTTCATTTATGTGTGTCTGTACCTCCATATATGTGTGGTGACGGTCACAAGCTAATTTCAGGTGCCGTACAGTTCAGCTCCACAAGCCCTTTTAGCAAATATTAGCTCATGCCACCAGAGAGCCAAAGTAAACCTTCCCTTTGCACAACTTCTGCCATCTCTTATCCTATTTCAAGACAACAGCCATACCTCTGTATTAATGTAAACACTTTATAAGATGAAGCCGTTTTTTGTATCCATAAACTATGTTTGTTATAATGTACTAAACTGTATGCCTTCAGGGACGTGAGGGATTATGCCGTGTTTTGTACTGAAATTTCAATAAAAAATAATTTATAACAAAAAAAAATGTTATCACATCAATGAAATGTGGCTGGAACCTGCTCCATGGAATTTACTTAAGGGTGATCTGCAGCCACTACAAGTTGAAGTTATATTTATATTTTTGATTCCCAATTATGTTGTAAAATGTAATTGTTATTTATTAATTTCTAGGCTTTGCATTGAAAATCACTTGCAGTTTCCCTTCCTTTCCCTTGGAATGTATCTAACTGCTGCATGCAGAAGCACCAGTGAGTTAGTTTAGTAAAGCCACCAGTGCTCCCCCATATAACATTTTTGACAGCAACATTACATCTGGACATTTATTGAGTATACTGAGCGGGTGGAGGCTGGTGAAAGTGTTTGCGGGAATCTCCCCCCAGAACACTGGCCGCTTCACCACCCTCCAGCCAGACCAATTGGCAGGAGCCAAACTCAGAAGAAAGCCTGGTAATCTTCTTCACTATGTGCCTTATAAAACCCAGTGGATAGTCACAGTTGACTAAGGCCCCGTTCACATTGAGCGATTTATCGCGCGATTTTTGTAGCGATATCGCTCATATTTCCGCACTATATCGCTCTATGTAGCTTCACCAATACAATTCAATGTAGCTGTTCACATCTCGTCGCTCAATGTCGCTCAATATCGCTCAATATCGCTTGTAGCTCATCGCTGGTAGCTTGTCGCTTATACATGACCCTTTTTAAGACCCATAACTTGGCAGCACGAAACAAAAAGAAATACCTGACTACTTTAACAATAATGCACATTCTGTTTTACTAAAGCTCTTTAAACAAATAAAAATCCCAACTCCAGACAAAACGTCCATTTTGTATTGGATAAAGTGGAAAGGGGTCAGAACTTCTGAGGTTGTCGCTGCTGCCTAAGCCTTCTCTTTCTCATGACCTCTGTTTTTGTAATTTCTTGTCCTGGTGTCACTGGGCCAGGAAGTAAGGGGAAATTTCCCTAGAGCAGTCATAGACAGCGATAACTACCTGACTGCCATTTGGAGACTTCCCCACTCTATGAAAAATGGTTTCCAAAAGGTTTCCTATACAAAAAAAAATTTAAGTGGCAATATTTTAATTACCTTTTACATTTAAAGGCCTAGATGTTTCCTATTAGAGAGGAACAGAATTCTGGAAGCTGCGCCCAAAATAAGGCTGGCAGAAGACAAAGGACCAGTACTGTCTGTGGTCAGCAGCTGATCTTTTTCCCATTAAAGGAGAACTATGGGGTCAGTGTTTTTCCCCATAGTTCTCCTTAGGGTAACGGGAGGACACAAACTAGCGTCCTCCCGTTACCCTAAGCTCAGTATACCGCGAGCTACAGCTCGCGGTATACTGAGACGCCGGAGTGGATCCCGACATCGATGTCGAGATCCGCCCAGCTGCGTGAGTGACAGCTGGCTCTGCCTAGCTAGAGGCAGAGCCAGCTGTACTCGCCCCCTCACCCCTCCGTTCCGCCAGTCAGCGTTGGCGGAGCGGGGAGGGGGGAATCCAGCCCCTCCCCTGTCACGGCAGAGAGCCGTGACAGGATCGAGAGGTGAGCGAACGCCGGTATCTGTTCGCTCACCTCCCGATCTACTGAGCCGACCTGTGACAGTCTCATTGTCACAGGTCGGCTAGAACTATGAGGTGAGTGGAAATCACTCATCTCATAGTTCTCCTTTAATGATTTCACAAGTGTTGTTCTGCAGTGTTTCTCTGTGTGGAAGTGGCCATCTTATTAGAGGCAGGGTTTTCCTGCCTCATGTCAGAGCCTCTAACAAGGAGAACAGTGAGTAGCACTGTAGTGACATCACCAAATCTCACCCCAAATCAATTGAGACTAGCAGTGCTTTAGATCTCACACTGTAGGTACACACTCTTTATGCACAGGAGTACCTAGGTACACTCATACACAGGTAAGAAGAATTAATGACAAAAGGTATATTTTCGATGGTACTGCTTTGGCCCAAGTAATACTTCTAGATGTTCCCTACAGTATAGCAAAGCTTTACTTTGAGGTGAGTTCAGGTCCACTTTAAATCCGCCACCGTACTGAAGAGCATTCATGTATATTTGTGTTAAGGCAGAACTCCAGCTTTAAAAAGAAAAAAAAACCATATACATATACATATATATACTGTATTATATTATATTATATTATATTAATTAATATTATATTATATTACTATAGTTATTATTAAAGCTGGAGTTCTACTTTAAAGTAAAATCCCAGCCCCAAGCAAGCTATATACATTGCAGTTTCAGAAATAATGAGTACTGATACTGATATTGCAGACTAGTAATATTTTTTTCTCTTTGGGTTAGTGCTGTGGTAGCATAATTCATAAGTCCAGCAGAGTAACAGCTCTCCATCACGTTATTGCCCTTTATACACTACCAGCATTAGATAACTTACAGTATATGTTCAGAACAACAACTGTATGGTTTCTTTGTATCCTTCCATGTGGGGTTAGCCTGCATTTTCATTACAAAGTAAATGTATTTCTGGTTTTCCACTTAATCATTGATCATTCTTTTTCTTGGCTAATGCAGGTAAGCCTTGCAACTCTACCTGTGATGGAAGGTGTTGGGGTGCAGAAGAGGGAGATTGCCAGAAATGTGAGTATATGGTTTCTTGCTACTGATCTCAACACTTTATTAGCAATCAGATCAATAATGTCAGTAATAATGTCATCACTTAGCTGTTGACTGTAAAATTAGTCACTGTCCATTAATTTTTACATAGTGAGAAATAAAAGATGGGTCGATTTGTAAATTATTGATAGATCTGGCAGTATTCACTATGCAGGTAATATATTAGGCTAACTGTTGGTTCCGAAAGTATATAACAGAGTTATCAGATTATTTATATACAATCTAATGTATTCTTTTATTCTTTCTTTCTGCAGTAACAAAGAACATTTGTGCAGGGCAGTGCAATGGTCGTTGCTATGGACAGGCCCCCTCGGAATGCTGCCATGATGAGTGTGCAGGGGGCTGCACTGGATCCTTAAACACTCAGTGCTTTGTAAGTACTTCTCACTAAATTACATCTGAGACCTCCTGAGCCCAGCCAAATATATCTCTTACATGTAAGTGTTTTTTTTTTTTCTTTCCATACAGTCTTGTCGGAACTTTAATGATAATGGGACATGTGTACCAAGATGTTCTCAGCTGCTTTACAACCCTGTGACTGGTCAGATGGAACACAGCCCTGATGCTAAATTCCAGTATGGAGGATCATGTGTCAAGAACTGCCCCCGTATGTATAGGCAGTCACACATTTTCTATAAAAGTAGAATTACAAAAGTACACAATATGGCTGAAGATGACAACAGATGATGTGGAAATAGTAGGGTGGCAGTATCTTCAGTAAGAACAATATGGGGTAAAAGGCCTTTTCATTGACAACAAAAACACCTAGTGATCCTATAACATTTTAATATGATTGTACTCCAATGTATTGCTTTATCAGCTTCTCAACAAGTTTTGAAGAATATGTCATAATTAAAAAAACAAAATTTGGGGACCGGTTTATTAAGGCAGTACTGAGAACTAACTACAGGGCTTTCCCTATAATAAGGCAGCCTGAGATGTTTGCCTTAGGCAGCATCCCATTGAGGGGCAGCAGTGGGGCGCCCACAGCGTCCCAGGCACTGTGATGCTTTGTCCAGCTTCCCATCCAGCTCACTAACGTCACCGGTTGACAGGAGCTGAGCGGGAAGCACTGGCTGGAAGTCCGCATAGCTCCTGGCAACCAATGACGTCAGTGAGTTGTGCAGAATGCCGGACAGAGCCGCTGATAGCAACATATGCACCCGACTCTTCTACCTGCCGGTAATGACCATACACTCAGAAAACCGCCACCCCCCTTCCATCCGCCCCAGCCTTAGGTGGCAAATAGTGTAGGGACAGCACTAACTGACTACAATGAAATCAGATTGGTTGCAATCAGTTATGTCACATAGCACATTATAACTGCTCTTTCCATTGCCTTTGTGAATAAGCCTATAGTTGCTTCTTAAAGTGCATGGAAACCCTTAAAATAAAATGTCTCTTATTTCTGTTATATATACCATTGAAAACATTTTGTGATATCTGTTTGATAAGTGCACAAAAATACCTGTTAATCATAGCAGACATTTAGAGATTTCCTGCATTCTGTGCATGCTACCTGGTTATCTCAAGAATTATTAGTAGCCCTCCAAGTTCTTATCTTGGAGCATGATACAATTAGTCTCTATTGTGGAGATGAGTTGAGGGGAAGCGCAGGTCAGTGCTGGTAACAATGTGTGAGATTTCAGTGCAGCAGACCCACTGTGTTGTCACCTTACTATAGGAAGTTAGAAGCTTACTGCATTTCCGGCAGGATCAATAGGTATTTTGTGTACAGTAACTTAATCCAAGCAGCAATCTGTTACCTATACCAACACTTACACTTATGCACTTTATACTTTCTTAAATGGATGTGTTTTTGTGTACATGCCCACTTACTGGCTAGATTAGGATTTATTTTTTCTGTATTTATTTCTGTACTTGTTTTGCTGATATAAAAAATAACAAGGAGATATGTTTGGCTTTGTTCACCCCAGATAACTTTGTGGTGGATCAGAATTCGTGTGTCCGTGCTTGTCCCAGCAACAAGATGGAAGTGACAAAGAATGGGGTAAAGATGTGTGAACCGTGTTCAGGCCTATGCCCTAAAGGTAATCATTACATTCTGAGAGCCTCTCGGTCCTTATTTAATACTTTTATAAATTGAAATGAATTGCCGAACCAGCTTAGCACTGAAATCTAATTGGTTGTCATATGTAAAACATGTCATTTGCAAAAAAACATATACAGTACATATGCAAAGGCATATGAATTAAAGTCATGATATTGTTCAAAAACTGGTATCTACCTGCTTCAAACACAAACAAGCCTTTGTAATATTAGACTCTATGATTATATTCTGATTCTAATTAGAGGAATTGGGATTTCATTATTGAGTCGTGGTTATCAGAGCAGACCTAGCTATAGGTAGAGCTATAAGGATCACTCTGTGCATCAGTAAGAACTGAAAAGAGCTTTTTAATTGTTAATAATAATGGACACTATTTGTCTCAAATAAATTCAGCTTGGGCGGTTCTTGCTGTTTTTTTCCTACAATTTCCTTAAACTATAAGACTTCTATAGAGCTTGTCTACCTCCACCTCCCGGCTGGGAGATGCAGCGAGACAAGCCCCATAGACTTCTATGGGACTCTATGGTGCAGATGCGGCCAGCAGTGGGAGGAGTTTGGTGCCAGACGTAAACAAACTTGGGAGGTCTCAGGCGAATTAGGTTCCTTGCTAGCTAGTATGAAAGTGTGCTGGGGAAATTTTGTATTACTATGTGGTGCTAAAGTCTCTTTTTTTTTATTTAATATGACTTATCTCTATTTTTTAGCCTGTGAGGGAACAGGACCTGGTAGTAAATATCAAACAGTGGACTCTAGTAACATTGATAAGTTTGTTAACTGCACCAAAATTCTTGGTAACCTGGACTTTCTTACCATTGGTCTTTATGGGTAAGTTATATTTGTATTTATTTATTTATTTATTTATTTATTTATGTATATAGCACCACATTTACTGCAAAACATTTTAGCATGTATGACTGTTCCAATCAGTCTCTTGCCAGTAGGTTATATTCTAACGTCCCTACTACAGTCATCAGGATCTGTTATAGGTAAAAGTCAATTAACTTATTTAATATATTTCCAAGGGGAGACTGGAGAACCCGAAGGAAACCAATGCAAACACAAGAAAAGAAAAAACGTCATGCAGATGGCATTTGTGGTGGGAAGTGATCAGTGCTATAAGGAAAGAGTGCCAACCACATAGCCACAGTGCTTCTCCATAGGTTTTGAAGAAGCAAAGCATGTAGCCTGACATTTGAAGTTTGAAGAAGCAAAGTTTGAAGTGATATACAGTATGAAGAAGCAAAGCATGTAGTCTGACATTAAAGCCTTGCTTTGAAGGAACTTTGTGAATATTCAGTGAAATTGGCTGGTGTAGCAGGCAGATTGGCTCGTGTAGCAGGTTAAACTGCAGTTTTCGAGGCACTTTGCATGATATACCGATGTCCAGTTTTGCAAAAAGTGAAAGAATAGATATATTTAAAAATATTTTTAGAAATGGTTATACAACTGATCAACATACTTTGCTGACATGTTATTGATATTATTCCAAGTGGTGTAAAAAATCTGAATGTAATAACATCTACAGGACAAAATTGCATCTCATCAGGGGAGGTCTGGGAACATTTGGTCTGGCAGACAAGTGGAGCCAACTGGGCTTTTTGTGGTAGTGATAGTTTCCTATGGGCTACCTCACACGTGCCATCATGCTCCGGTGATTGGTGGCCATGGTGAAGGATGGGTATTCTCTTAGAGAACATGATTTATTATAACAAAATGTTTACATATATGCAATAAAAATGAGATATTGTAAGGGATGAATTGCATATGAAGAAATACTTTGTAGGCTAAACAAAATGACTGTTGCTCTTTGAAAATGGTATGTACTTAGCTGTATAAAATACTAACTTAAATAGCATGCCATGACCACAAAATATCCCTTTATTCAACTTCGTTTTAACAAATAAGCACAACACATTTTACAATTTTGCACTCTCCCAGCACTGACTTCCTTTTTAGCGCATTGTATTTGGTCACATAACATTTCAGAACCACAAACAAAGTCAGTGCTGAAAGACTTCTATCTGACAGGCACATTGATCACAGATCTGAACAGGGAACTATAGCTTTATAACACCCCTCATGTGTCATTGATTCAGACCCCACAAGTCTGAAAGGGGGAGTATTTAAACTCAGGGCCACCAGTTCAACATATATTATTTGTACAGGTCCCACAGTCCAGTCCTCCCCTGTGTCCAGTAATTAAAGCAGAACATAGCCCTGAATTGTAAAGGAAGTTTCATTATACTTTAGAAGAGACATATATATTTTCTGCAATAAATATTTTTTACCTTCCTCCTTGCAAATGTTTTGGAATGTACACTGAGCTGCAGCTTAAAACAAGGGGGGCTAAAACATTGATTAGAACCAAAAATTATGGAAAATTTTGTGTGCCATACTGTATAATAGTTACTGACAAGTACGTAGAATTAATGTACTATCTGTGCGTTTCCTGTTCAGAAATGTCACTCATCATTTAACTGCCCTGAAGTCAACTCATTAATAGTTTGATTTTAGGAGCTAACAATGCATTTTTTGGGATGTTGTCTGTGCTGCCATTATTCAGATATTGCTTCAGATCTAAGATTGGTGCTAATCAAGATCCTAATTCTCCTAAATACATTTTAAATGCTGAAAAATGCAATGTGCCTCAATTATTATAGGTTGAGGAGGCATCAATAGACCACTCTGTTGGACATCATATTACTCAGACCTTCAGTTTGACCTCAAAGATCCAACAGGATCTGACTAATCTGGCCACCCAAATGTGTAGCAAAACTGGCACAAAAGACAGGATCTGCCCATGTGTGGGCAGCTTCAGTAGTAATTATGAATCACTGTCACATGACTATACCACTGGCAAAGCTGACATGAATAAAGTAACCTAGATTAAACATGATTAAGGCAGTGTAAAAGTCTAGTAAATAAGGTGAAAGGTGGGGCTGCAGACTTTTTGTTCATAGCATATGCAGATCACCAAGAAACCATCCTGTAGTGTGAATTAGTTTCCTACACCCTGAAATCCTCACATTCATGCTTACAAGAGACAATGACCTTATGCACAGAAGTATTGGATAAGCAGTTCTTGTTGCCCATATCAAGCAGCCAGATTCTCCCTTTAAAGTGACACTAAACGCAGGCATTAAATCCTAAAAATGCATTCAAGAACCCTAACTACTAACAATACTGTACCTTATTTGTGTATCACTAAAGTAGTTGTGTAAAGTAGCCACCGCTCTAAGCTCACTTCTGCCATGTACTACAATCTCAATACAAATTAGTAAACTAAACATGAGATTGTAGTCCATCACCGGAGCGAGCTTGGAGCAGTGACTACTTTACAACACACACAGGGACCATGGGGAACAAAAGTAGCCACCCTCCAGAAGGAAGGACAATGTCAGCACCAATTCAGAGATGATTTGAGGATCTACAGCCGTGTGATACACAAATAAGACACATTTTTGTTAATAGGGTACTTGGGTGCATTTTTAAGGTTTACCTTCTGAGTTTAGCATCACTTTAACACTTCCATACTACAATGAAACCTGAAAAAGTGGGAAAACAGAATCTGATATGTTCCATCTGTTGTGATAGACAGGTGCTAATAGCTGAGAACTAGAGGAAAGAAAAGTGGGTGCATTGTCCATAGCAGCCAATCAGATTCCAGCTGTATTTGTTCAATCGCAGGTCACAGAATGAAAGCTAGTACCCAACTGCTGCATATTGAAAGCCATCTTACTGTATATTCACTTGCACCAGTTTTTTAAACTATAGCACAATTTGTTTTATTTATTTATGGGAGAAACATCCAAGCTTTAATCAGTAAGAAGGATACTGCAGCTCACCATGTCATATAAAATATATGCAGTATGTATATATCAAATGGAGATTCTGTATCTTATGGATGTATCGTTTTAGGGATGAGTGGATGAATATCTCAGCTTTGGATCCCAACAAACTAAATGTCTTCAGAACAGTGCAAGAGATTACAGGTAGGAGGAGCAACATTGAAATATTAGGATGAGTGAATGTATGTGTATCGATGAATTAGCTATTCAGATTTAGTACTTAAAAATATATCAGATAATAAAAATAATGGTTATCTGTCTCTTTTTAGGATACTTAAATATCCAGTCCTGGCCAAAGCACATGAATGACTTCAGTGTCTTCTCCAGTCTCACAACCATAGGAGGTCGAACGCTTTACAAGTGAGTGTCTTATTGTATGTATATTTAGGTGGAATATACCCTCTCTATAATATGGATCATTTGGTACAGGTTTATAGTAGTGATAATTTATAATTAGATGCTGAAGATTTACTAGTCAACGTTTTCAATGTGATTCATATAAGAGTGTCAATCTAATGATATCTAAACAGAGGCAAAAGGAAACACGGAGGCTGCCATTGTTGACCTCTCTATCTAAAAAGACTGGTTGCCCGGCATCATGATGATCCATTGGCATCAACAGAGTCATTGGCCAGGAATATGTATGCAAATCGGAAGTTCTGACTTCACCTTGATTTTCCTCTCTGCATGCTTGCTCCAAGTCAGTGACTAGAAAGTTAAGAGACAGCCAGGCAACTTTCAGGGAGAGGTAAATAATTGCAGTCCCTATTTTTAGCTCACCTTTCTAGGTGAATTAAACTATATCTTCTTATTGATTTTATCTGCTTTCTGCTTTTTTTATATGTACAGTTTTAACAATGTCTGCTGTTCTGCCCCAGTGCCTCTCCTGTATAATATGCTGCAGATTTGTAGCTTAGTACAGTAAACAGGGTTCCACAATTAGTTTTTGGGTGGATTATATTAGACAATATGTGTAAGGCTATTTTGTAATGCCCACACTGACACCATGCACTAAGATTAAGGAATTGTGCATGTGACAGGCTTGCTGATCTGTGTTAAATAGTTTCCAAGCTTTATAGATCAGGGCTGGAAGGAATCCTGAATATTATTATTATTATTATACAGGATTTATATAGCACCAACAGTTTTTGCAGAGCTTTACAAAATATGGAGAGAGACAGTACAGTTACAATACAATTCCATACAAGAAGACAAGAAATGTCCTGCTTGTGAGAGCCTACAATATAGAAGACTCATTCAGAAATAAAACATTAGTTTAGTTGGACTGAGCCTTTAATGTACGTCATTCTGTACTGTGTTTAGTTTGTTTTATATGTTGTGCAGGTTATGTGACCTTTTTACTTTTTTCTTTTTCAGCCGAGGAGTCTCCCTCCTTATTATGAAAAACAGTAATGTGACTTTCCTGGGCTTCCGCTCACTGCGAGATATTAGCGCCGGGAAGGTTTACATTACAGAGAATGAGAACCTTTGCTATTATAACACCATTGAATGGGCACAAATATTTTCAAACAAACAGCCAAACTTTGATATAAAGAATAACAAAGCTCAAACTACCTGTAGTAAGTATATGTTTTTCCATGTATATGTTTTCATGGTGACTACACAGGAGCTGGTCATATTCTTACCTTTATTAGTGTTGTATATATATATATATATATATATATATACATGTATTAAAAGGGGAGAAGAATGTAAAATTATATATTTCTGGTGGCTTTGTTTAAATAGAATAAAATACCACATTTGTGTGTGATAAATTGCAAGCAATATGCATGTCTTGCCGTTATAGTCAGATTAGGGATGGAAAGGCCATTTAGCAGACAGAGTCAGGTAACATTGCAGTTGTAAAATCTAAAGAAATTTTACAATCATATTGTAATGTGTGTGACCAACTTTACACCTCATCCAGCCATAAGTCCTGTTACTGTGTGATATCGCTCCATTGGGGCCCAGCTGAGTGATTTTTACATCCTTGTTACCCGGCTGAGACTTTTAAGTCACTTCTTGTCCTAGTAGCAATGTTATCACCAAGATAGGGAGTAAGTGAAAATGTCAATACAATTCTGCCACACAAAGCAGTACAAACCAAAGCAATTAACTCTAATTCATGAAGAAAGGGTTTTGGTTTTGTATTATAAATGATATACTAGTAATTGTGCTCAGGATAGTTTAGCATGAAATTATTGGAGAAAGTTGTAGTAGACCAGTGTTAAAAATGTGATTTTTATCTTAGCTCAATGGTATTGGCCATGTATTTGAAGTAGAATCATGTACAAAGACAGCAGTACCATCATGATCACTGAGGTTAAAGCTAGTAAATGCATATGGACAATACTATCACTTAATACAGCATCATAATAATAATTTTTCTAGTAGGTTAAGCTTTTAATTATCTTTTCACAGTTGAGGAGAACAGAGTATGTGATCTGCTTTGTTCTGATGCTGGATGCTGGGGTCCCGGGCCCAGCCAGTGCCTGTTATGCAAGAACTTTAGTCGAGATAGCATATGTGTACCTTTCTGCAACCTTCTGCAAGGGTAAATCTTGATATTGATAAATGTCTATTATTTGCTTACATTATTTGCTGCTTCTCTCATTACACTTCACCTATCTTCATTTTTATTTGCAGAGATAAGAGGGAGTTTGCCAAAGATGGTGTTTGCCTCCAGTGTCATGAAGAGTGTCAGAAAATGGAAGGAAGTCTAACCTGTAATGGAACAGTGAGTACTGAGTGTGGCACCCTATATCCCCTTTTATATACCACTCAAATACCCTTGCCTTGTATCACATGATATTCTTTATTCTGGTAGGGTGCAGACTCTTGCATTCAGTGTGCACACTTCCGTGATGGGTTGCATTGTGTCTCTGACTGTCCTCATGGAGTGTTGGGAGAAAAAGGACGAGTATATAAGTACCCTAGTGCAAATAAGATCTGTTTGCCTTGCCATGAGAACTGTACAGCAGGGTGAGTTTTTACTTGGTGTCTTTAATGTAAAACCAATACATTAAAGTACAACACGCCTATTTTGCTGATAAATAAAATCATTGCTACAGATGCCAGGACATTCATTCAAGTCCATCTAGAGATGCCATAGACAACTATAATTCCGAACTATGTTCATGCCCCAAATGTTGCTCTCTTTTTTATTGCATGATCTTAAAAGATGGACAGAATAACCCAGACAGAAAAACGTTGACACTTTTTAAACATGTTCTTTCTGTCTGATGCCCTTTATCTGCGTTTAAAACTAATGAAGAAGAGAACACAGTATGAATTGTGATCCTTTACAGCCATTTTGTTGACCGAATAAATCATTTGTCTTTATGTTTTGTATTCATGAGCATGAATGGATATCAGTATAGCACTAATATCACATATAGTACTAATATCAGGAAGGGCAGTTATTTTTCAGGAAGAATTCCACTCTCACACTACAGATATACAGCTATAAGACTGTAGGCATCCTGACATATCAGGAAGTGCACGGTTATTTTTCAGGAAGAATTCCAGACAAATGGTGGGGTTCAAGGCACAGCTCATGCACAATAAACATTTCTAGATGTTAAATTCATGTTAAGAAATTATGGATAGCCATGGGGGATGCAGGTGTCCTTTCTCAGTGTATCTTTCTTGACCACGAAACACACCTTAAATACTGAGGAACCTTCTAATTTTGTCCACACGTTGTCCTCTTTAGCCCCTTAAATCTCTGTTTTTTATGCAGCATAAATAATAATAAGAAAGCTGGAAGCTTAACTCACTTTAACTTTGCCTCTTTAAAGACGATTTCAACTCTGGAATCTGTGCCCAAAAAGCTAGCAGAGGGCAAAGGACTGCCTAACCAGTATTGCCTGTACGCTCCTTGCAAATTATATTTCCCCATTACTGACTGACCATGATATGTTCTGCACTGTGCCCCTATATGGAGGTAGCCACTTTGGTGGATGTTCAGGGATTTGCTTTCTCATGTTAGAAATGCCACCGTTTTCTAGCGATCTGATGACTGCTGCGGTAATGATCAATAAACAGCAGGAGAAGTGAAAGAAGCACAGATTCACAGAGTAAATGTAGCAGATTTGGGGAGATACATGCAATGCAGGTCCCCAGAACCAAATTGCTCTTTAGCAAGCAGCACAGTAGTGATGTGACGTCACCAACCCCCACTCGAAATCTTGTAAGACTTGCAGTCACAGTGCCTCTCACACTACAGATATACAGCTATGAGACTGTAGGCAGAATTAGGAAGCATTCCAGAGAAAAAGGTGGGATACAGGGCCTACGCTGTGTAGGCACAATTACCATTTCTAGATGTTCCTTATAGCATAGCAAAATCTTTGCTTTATGAGTTGAGGTACCGTTTAAGATTTTGAGACTTATATGGCACATATTAGTTTCCAGGGTAATAAATAAATACGCTGTCTCACAGATCCAGTGCAAGTATGTGGCACATGAGCTGATGAGTGGTGTAACACCTTCCCTCATAGATATTGCTTCCTGATACTTTTCATTGGATGTAATTAGGTACTTGTTCACAAACTATACCAATATCTAATACTTTTAAATACTTCTTATGATGAATTCCCTACTTCTCCCTTGCACAAACTGTGGACCTCGGATTTAGAGTAATAGTTGTTTTACCATTTTGACTTCTTCTAGAGCAGTTGTTACTGTTCTCTAGCCAATAAGACAGCCTTGAGCTACCCTTCTACATAATAATATTTGTTATTCTTTCTGTATATGACATAAGTATCTCTTTCTGTGTGACAGGTGTGTAGGACCTGGGATAAACAACTGCATCAACATAGTTCCTCATCCAGCTGAAAGGTAAGTATCACATATGATTCTAAGTTTGTTTGAGCGCTTTTAAAAGGAGGTTGGTAGGGAAGACAGACAATGCCCGTTGTAGACCTTAAACATTATACTTTCAGAATTCAATAAAACTTTCACCAATTGAAACCAGGAAATAATATGTGTCTCTTTTACCTCACTCCTCCTTCATAACATTATATTTATTACATGAATACATGATTATTTGAAGACCCAGTAATATTCAGAAGAGTTTGTTCTGCAGGGTCAGATCAGGTTGTCCATTTTTAATTGAAGTTGGAGAGCCCAGTTTTGTCCTAAAATGGTTTTCCACTTTGAAGAACCATTGGATGTACAAACCAGTTCGAAAGAATCCGTTCTTTGCATTAAGCCCTCATTAGTCAACTGTTTGCAGTCTAAAAAAAATTTCATAGGTTATGTACAGTACTTACATGGATCTCTTAAAGTGGACCGAAACCTTAGACTAGGTGTAACATTTTTCACACCCCACATCCTGAGATTCTAACCTGACAATAACAGCGGGGTATTATTTACCTGGCATCCAAACTCAAGGAACTCAAATTCAGCTACAATGGCGGACCATGAGATGATTGTCAAAAGGGTGACATTCAATATTAAATAGAGCCAGCCAATTAGTGGTTGTGAAAAAAAAACTGTTGCCTTTTGGTGTGGGGCGGGTGGCGGTTTTGGTTACTGGTAGATGGAGAGGGACCATCAGTAGTCTACAAGAGATACAAGCCTATGTGTTAGTTTGCCTTCAGGAAGGTCTCTTTTAGGTATAAACTGTGAAATGGATTAGTAATATATTCCTAAAAATATACATTCATGGAAAATATTCAGACAATATAATCAATCCTTAATAACATGTGGTCCCAAGAAATGTAATATAAAATAGGTTTACTACTTTACTGCTAGATATGATTATTCCTCCTGCCCCAGTGGAAGTACAAAAAATGGTTATAGTGGACATATTGTTGAACTTGTCCTGGAATTTCCCTACACTATCCAGTGGGATGAATAGAAGTCACAATCCTTGGCTGTATTCCTTTTCTCAGTAATAACTGGTATTACATTGAGAGAGGAACTGTCCGGACAATCAGCTTGTGTTCCCCCCACAGGCAGCTTATGATGTCAGCCATGTCCGCAGCAGCTGCATGTGAAGTAACAGAATTAAAAGAAGTATGGTTTGCAGAAGATTCAAATTAAAAGGCAATTGAGTAAATGCAATTGGCGGGACAATAATTGCAGGGCTTGGTTATATTGTCATTGCATAACGCCCTTCCTGTCAGGATCATTTATACGCCGGGAGAGAGTACATGCTACTTCAATCATCAGCACTGTGAAATGACATGTGCGTGATATCACTGCAATTATCCCAGCTTTCTGTTCCTTCTAAAGGTACAATAGGCTGGTCTATAAACATTGTTTGTAGTAAGCAAACACTTGCTGTTTTGACTCTACGCTTGTTTCACTGAGATACTGTATCTTTTTTGAATGTTGCTGCCTTAGGCCAAAGTATCCTCTGTCTGCCCCTAAAACTTCCCCAATCTGTTGGTTTTCCACAGCGTACAGATTGCAGCAATATCAGTCAAAAAAAATCTATGCTCTTATTCCCAAAAGCATTATAAACTGTATCTGAGACTGCGTAGACACCTAACCACCACACCTATAGGAGTTTGTTGGACAGTGCATTCCAAAACCAAAGTCATTAATATAGAGTTGTCCCCCTTTTGCTAGTATAACAGCCTTCACTCTTCTGGGAAGGCTTTCCCCAAGATTTCAGAGTATGTCTGTTGGAATTCATCAAAAAGAGCATTTGTGAGGTCAGGTACTAATGTACGAGAAGACCCTGGTTTGCAATTAACATTCCGGTTAGATCTAAAAGTGTCCATTAAGATTGAGGTCAGAGCTCTGTACCGGCCATGTAAGTTCCTTCACACCAAACTCATGAAATCATGTCTTCTTGGACCTGGCAGTAGGGCCTTCTCCAAACTGTTGCCCCAAGTATTTATATTAACAGTACCCTTCACTGGAAACACCTGAACTCAGTAATATGGAGGGATGTCCACATGTTTTTGGCCATATGTTCATATTCTATGTAGGCTGCTACATAATTATTATAGGTATTTTATTGTAGCGCCAACAATTTACGCAGCACACATTGCACATTCACATCAATCCCTGCCCTCAAGAAGCTTAAAATCTCAGGTCCCTAACTCACATGCATACATATATGTCTGATTTAGACAGGAGCCAATTAACCTTGTAGCATGTCTTTGGAGTGTGGGAGGAAACCGGAGTACCGGGAGGAAACCCACACAAGCACAGGGAGAGCATGCAAACTCCTTGGAGATGTTACAGTCTGATTGTGCAATTCCAGTACAATTTCCTTTAGACATACCAACAACTCTGGAGTATGAAGGTCTTCCTTAAAGGAAAACAAATACCCCCCCCCCTAAAAACAAACAATGCATCCTTCTCTGGGTCCCTACCACCATTCATAGGCACATTCATGACACTGACACAGCCTCTGGGGATGTGTTATCACAACAGCCTGGGTTCACAGAAGTATGAAGTATGGTGTACAGAACAGTGCTCATTACACGAGCCCTGTTTTCTGCATCATAGTGAGGATAGTGGCCATTAACATATAAGAGTGTCTCGACCAAAGGTAAATTTCTTATAAATAAGTGCAAGCAATTTCAAACCATGTGCTTACACAGTGTTCTAGAGCAGTGGTTCTCAACCTGTGTAACCTCAGGACCCACATTTGTCCTTGGTCTTTAAGTCACAACCCAAGTCGCACTGCAATGGAATGCCCGGCATCACAGTACCAGGCATTCGGGTGCAGGCGTTCGGACTGTGGGTGGGAGGTGCATTTGGGGTGTCATTTAAATTAATAGCAAAGCAGCGCACCTTCCACCAGAATGTGCAGTAGATGCGATTGCATGGTACAGCCCATTAATCTAATGGGACTGTGTACCAGTGTGAATGGACCCTTAAAAACACTGACAGAGACACACAAGCACAGACATTCTCACACACACATACACACTCCAAAAAAATGTATAATTTTTTTAAGATCCACCCAGTCTCCCTACATTATGGGAACTAGAGTGGAGCCTCAGCCTGGGGTCCAGTGTGCTGCTGTGCTGTGACGGAGCTCCATCCATATGTGCATTGCGTGTCTTGTAGAGGTGTTGGCAGCCAGAATGTGATGTCCGTCCAGTCCAGGCACTTCTACAGGGCACACGAGGGAGCTGTAAGCAATGCATGAATGGATGGAGCTCCCTTAAGGCCATACTTCCAGCCCACCCCACCTCAAGCTGACGCACAGTGCCGCAGCATATTTTGAATGGTTGCTCGGCGTGAGAACGGACGATTCTGCGCTAGGGGGAAGCCAAGTAGTCCCTCGCCTAGAAAAGTGGCAGGCATGTGGCAAGCCACTGAACATGGGGCCGCGACCCACTTTTCGGTCACGACCCACCAGTTGAGAACCAAGGTTCTAGACCATCCAAATTAGGTACAGTAGGCATGAGCCTACAGGCAGCACAGGCAAGGAGGAAGTTTCTCCCTCTATAATTATTGACTAACATTTTTCCATCTTAAGATTATTTTACACATTATCACAATATTGTAAGCCAAGTTAGGATCAGGTAAAAAAAGAAAATGTTCTATATAAATGAAAAGTATTATGGCACCAAAATGTGTGGCTGCAGTAATAAAAATCCGGTCCTGGTTCTAGAGAGCCTTTAAATTAAATGTGTCTTGGCTGCCGGTGTTGCCATGCTAGTTTGGTGGCTGTTATGTTGACCTTTTGGCTTTGGCGCTTTCTGAGTCACTGACCCAGAAAAAGTAAATTGATCAGGGGGTCTAACTTCACTTGCTGCATACTTGATCTGGATATATGTGTAAAAAATAAGTCAAGGCAACTGGACTTGCTGTATTTTTCTTGATCTGGATATGTGACTCAGGAAGTATTAAAGCTATCAAAGGTTTTTGAAGGAAGTCAGCATTAGCCGCGCACATGATTCTATCATGACAGGTTTTGTCTAAATGGTGCACGGTTGTGGAATAAGGAAAGCCTGTGCCTTACTGCCCTCTAGGGAAGCAATATGATAGTGCAGTCAAAGTTTGTAATTATGCTATGAACACAGAAAAGCTTTAGGGGAAACATGGAAAATAAAACACCATTGCACAGGAGCACTCATACTATAAAACTGATTAAGCAGTGTAATTGTCGACTAAGTTTAGCTAATATATTTCTTTGTTGGTTTACAGTAAAGCACATGCAGTGGTGGCAGTTTCAATTGTAGCGTCCGTCTGTGTTCTCTTTTGTTGCATCCTGCTGACTCTTCTGTACTGGAGGGGGCTGAAAATCCGCAAGAAGCGAGCTATGAGGCGTTACTTGGAGAGGGCAGAGGTAGGTCACGTCCAACATCTCTCTTTCTCTTAGAATGGGCTTTATATGCTAACATTTACAGCTGCAGCCTAGTTCCAAAACAATTGCAGTGAGGGTCAAGTGTGAGAGCAGCTTCTTTTAGCTTATACTTTTGTTTTAATACCTGAACTCCAGGTACAAAAAACAATAATGAATGCAGTTAGGTACCTATTAGCAATTATGAAATTCGTTTTCAATGCAACTAAAGTATGTATTTACTTATTTGTCTTATATCAACCTCCTGTACTCAGCCTGAACTAAGACTGGGAGAGGGGAGCAGCACAGGGACCAATCAGGCTTTGCTGCACACACGTGCTGCTGTTAGGAGAAGTGAGCATTATCTTATTAGTGTTATGCTGCTCCTTTATTGACCAATAAGCAAGAAAGTTATCCGTTTCCCACATTTAGAAATGTTATATATATATA